TCCATACAACATCTCTTCTCATATCTCAATTCTATATTACATACACAATTCCATATCACATACACAACAGATAAGCCCAACAAAATAAGGGTTTACACACCCTTCGAGCAATTCACATCTAGATCATAAATTCTTATCAAATAATATACCAATAACATTCATAAATTAATATAATAATCAATTTAATATAATTTTAGCATAAACAGTAAAATCCCCCAATTATTCCAAAACCTAACTCACAAGCACTTTTCTACAGTTTCGTTCTCCCTCTCAGATTATCATTCTTACAAATTAAATATATATTTCTAATCCTCAACACATACAGAATCTAATGGTATCATTAATTCCTCAAACAGAAATAATCCAATTTTTCCAAAACCTGACTTACAGACACTTTTCTATAATTACGTTCTCTCTTCCAGAGCATCATTTTTACAAATTAATCATATATTCATAGTCCTAAATACATACAGAATCAAATAAAACCAATAATTCTCCAAACAGAAATAATTATAAAATTACGCATAATCCTAAGGGATTATTCCTCTACCCAATTCCCTCATGTAACTCTACATATAAATAATTCCATTTTCCCCCGTACCTAGATATGTAGAAGCTGAATTTATACGAGATCTGGTTGGTCTCCCTCGCTGGGTTCCCCTCGGTCTGAAGCAGAAAGTAGAGGGAAAAGAAGAGAGAGCAGAAAGAAATCAAAAAATGAGAGGTGTGCTTTTTGAGAGTGACAGAGAGCTCAATTTATAGGCCTCCGGCTCCGCCGGAACGGCCCGTTCCAAATTTGGAATGACCCGTTCTGAAACCTTGAAACATGGGTAAAAATCACACTCAGAACGGCCCGTTCTCAAACCAGAACGGCCCGTTCTGGTTGCATTTATTACTCACAACTGCCACAGCCCGTTCCAAGCCCGTTCTCACTTAGAGTTAAAGGAAGTTTTTAATAGTCCAGAACGGTCCGTACCAACTTGAGAACGGCCCGTTCTGGGCAACGAACTCGCATATATTTTGGTAGTTTGGAACGGCCCGTTCCAATTCCGGAACAGCTCGTTCCAAGCTACTAAATTACCCCTATACCTTTATAACAAAATAGCCTCAATTAAAATAAATAAAAAGTGAAATAAAAACTGGG